AGTGACCAAAACCTTAGCCGATTGACCATAGATCAACTACTTTGCCTCTTGGAGGAAAACAGTGGTAGTACTCCGGACTCATTCTCGAGGAAACCAGATATCCTGGGCCTTGTCATTGTGAGTTTCACTCAAAGGTTGATATTCTGCTCATCCTGAACGCAGGCATGTAGACATACTTACAACGATATGCCACGACCTCAGAAGCCGAAAGGGAAGTCCACGACTCCACTCCCGCCAAGGCAACATATCTCAACTAGTGAGGCATTGGTGGATCGTAAAGAACCCCGTCCAGTCCCCACCATCATGCAAGTGGCTAGTTCCACGGTTGGAACACCTCCCGTTATCAGCCGCTTAGACCTAGAGGAAATTCAACAAGACATTCCAAATATTGTAACTCCATCATGGTTCACCAAGATCTCTTCACAAGTTGGTGAAATCTCTAACGGGAAATTGAAGGCAGATGAATGGCGTAGCTTATTCACGGTCTATCTTCCCCTCAGTATGACAAGACTGTGGGCAAGTTCTAAGCACCACCGATTACATTTGAAGAGTCTGCTTATCCTCTCAATAATTGTCAATATCACATGTTCCACTACTATCTCCGGTGCCCTCATCAAATGCTTCAATGATGCCATTCGACTGTACCTCCGGATCATTTCGGTGGAAGATGGATGCTCCCTTGTTATCAAACATCATTTATCACTCCATCTTACCACTTTCATGGAGGCTTTTGGTCCATGCCGGACTTATTGGGCGTTCCCATATGAACGCTTGATAGGGAAGCTGCAGAGGACTCTATACAGTCCATCGATAGGTATGAGTGGTGCTAGCTCTCAGTCGCATCGCTGATATGGTGCTATAGACAATATTCCTCACATCATGTCGAATACATTCAATCGTAAAAATATGCTGGGAAGTCTTGCCAAGGCTGGTGTGGGAACAGCTTCGGTACTAGAGCCGGCCAAGCCACTTGAATCACGCCCAGGACCAAGGGTACGAGTGGCTTTGGACGACTACCTTCTCAGTCAGATAGCACAGAGGATAGGGCCTCTCGCAACTTATGCTTATTCTCTAACCAGGCACATGCTCCAAGATTTGGAATATAGCACGTTCGAACAACATACTGGCAATGCCAATATTGGCTTTGTATATTCCGGGACCGGCTCTAGTGCCATATATCGTGTGGGGAGAATCGAGAGCATCTTCGAAGTTCATCAGGGCCGAGAGAGACCTCCACGGACTGTCTATGTAGTACGGTGCTTCAAGCCAGCTCCCACAACGATGTGGACAGTATTACAAGATAGAATGCTATCGCACAGGGCTCTAGGGATCCATGTTGTCAGCAATGAGATGGAGACCATCGTTAACATCGTAACAAATGAAGAAGTTGTAGGGCACGTGGCCATTCTTCATGTCCAGCCTCCAAACCTCGGAATATCCCTAACAATACAACTTTCCACAGTAAGATGAGACCGCTTCGACTCATATTGATAGCTTACTATCCCATAGGACATGGATCATCGAAGTCAAATTCCTATATTTGGAATATCTCCTTAATATAACGTCACTGTACTTAGATATGGCCTTCATAGATGTATGATCTCACACTACTACGTCAGTAGTCTCAAGTCTGATCAGCGATTCAACAAGTACTCTTTGGGAAGCGGTATGAACGGCGAGAACGACTGATAACTGGGCAGGGGTAATTGGGAATCTCAATAAATATTAAATATTGATATTGATGCATCTACTTGGATAAATAGCCTTGCTTCCGACCCAACGGATTCTGTTGGACTTGCTCGTGTTCAAATGTAATGTCCCACATCGGGATACAGTTCAAGGCCTGCTAAGAATATAGCCTTCGGGAACTATCACCTATATATCGTCTACTTGAGTCAATGAAATATTATCCAGGTCGAAGGCCGCCTTGGGCCGTAAGGCAAGAGGTGCGGTTGTGGTCAACCAA